CTTGAAGACGGCGCCAAGCACGCCCGCATGTGACACCTGCAGAGCTAGGGGGCGGAGCACGGGGCCACCAAACACTGGGAGTGCGGCGCCGCGCGCGCCGCCGCCTGTTCCGCCCTCCCGCCCCGGGGCCTCACGTTGCCGTGCGCCTCTCGTCAAAGTGGCCTATGCGCTGCAGCTCCTTGTACAGCTCCCCCTTGGCCGCATACTCCAGGATCAAATACACCTTCTCCTGGGGTTGTGGGGTGAGGGCACCGGGGCATGCAAGAGGTGCAAGGCATGGGGGCGCAGGAGCAACGGAATTGATTGTGTTGGGCGGTGAGGGGTGGGGCAGCACATGCTTGCGCCTGGCAATGACAAATAGCACGGGGATGGGGCGTCGCATTGGCAGCCGCATTCGCTGGCGTATTTTGCTGACGTGTTGCGTAGCAGCAGCAGCAGCTGCTGCTGCTGCTGCTGCCAGTGGCATGGCTCTTCCCTGAGGACCTGGCGCCTCGCGGCACGCACTGTGACGTCCCGGCTGCCACGCCGCACCCGGTCGTAAAAGTAGCCGTGCATGCGCAGGATGTTGGGGTGGCGCAGGTGTGACTGGATCTCAATCTCTCGCCGCAGCTGGTGCTCCACATTGGACTGCGCCAGCTGGCTCTTGAAGAGCACCTGGGTGGGCCCAGTTTTCAGGGGGGTTGGCGAACGCGGCCATTCGCAGGGGCGTGAAAGCTGCGGAGGGAAGCAGGGTGGGCATATGGCTCCCATTGCCAGCGGCTGTCAGTCAACCATACTGACCAGTAATGCCCGAAAAGCATCGTGTAGCGCTGACCCTGAAAGCTGCGGCACTCAAGGCCGGGCGGTGGAGCGAGCGCAGCCTGGAGCGCCCACAGCTTGGTCAGCCGCTCCAGCCACGACGCTCAACGTGCGCGCGCGGCCTGGTCGCCTCCTAGCCCGGCCACGTTGCCCACCTTCAGCGCAACTATGTACTGGCTCTTTCGCTCGCGGGCCAGGTACACGCTGCCAAACTTGCCGCGGCCCAGCGGCCGGCCAATGTCAAAATCATCCAGTTGCCACGTCTGGGACGCCTCCTGGGAGCTGCCGCCCACCAGGGAAGCGGGCTGCTGCCGGTGTTGCTGCTGCTGCTGTTGCTGCTGCTCCTCCTGCCGGTGGCCGTGTGCAACCAGCTTCTTGCTGACGCCTCCCACTGCACCGCCGATTGTCGCCTGCTGCTTGTTTGAAGGCTTGAACGGCACTCTGTTCCAAGCGGCCCCGCCCTGCACGACTTTTTGTGCTTTGAGGGCTCCTTCAGTGCCGATTGGTGCCTCAGCCAGGCGCTTGACACCGGCATTTTCCTGCAACAAGCCCGTTTTAGTCAGATCTCCGCTGGTCACGCTGAGAACCCTCAGAACACGTACTTTGGACAAATACATACCTTTTCCCTCCCTGCTCCAGCCTCCACCGGCCGCTGCGTCCCGAACATCACGGCCACAACAACGCGGATGAATGCGAGCCCTATCTGTTGCAAATAAAACGGTTCAACGTCAATGATATCACTCTCTTGTCTCAATTGCATGGGGGTAACCGAACTACTCGGTGGTGACAGCTGGTCCAAGCGGTGCCACTTCACCAGATCCCACTGCATTGCCGAACCCACATGCGCTGAGGGCGTGCCAGAACACACGCCCTAGACGACAGGCAAACATCCCATGGTGTTGAGACACTGCCTTGCTGCCTCCCTGCTGTCTACGAAGCGACCCGATCGGGCCACCGGACACTGTTGCTGATGGGAGGGTGCTTCAAGCTGCCAGCCGGCTGCATTGTTGTCGCACCACGAGCCCCGGCCCCAAAGAGGCAGGCGACGCAGACATTACTGTGCGACCATGCTTGCAAGAGGGGGTGGATATTCCAAGAGCGTGGCGCTGCACACCTCACAACAAGCGCAGGCAAATGGGAGCCAGAAAACGCGCAAAACACACCGTGCGGTGGGGGCGCCTGGCGAGGGCGGCGCTGAGACACCCCTTCGCGCGCGCCCCATCACCCCGCGAGGATCCCAGCACAAACACATCCACAAGAGCAGGGGCCCCTGAGAGAGCCCCCCAACAGCTTGGCGGGGTGGGTGGCGCAGGCACACGAAGATACAAGACGGGAGCCGGCGGCCCCGGCGGGCACAAGCGCCCTGACCGGCCGCCCGTCACACCCTCAACATCCTACGCATTGTGTTCTGAGACGCGCCCCCACTGCGCCTCAAGAGAGAGCAGTCCATGCGAAGCCCCTGAGAGGCCCCGTCAACGTTACGACAGAGAAACCGGGCCGCAGCAGCCTCGCGACCTCGGCGCGCCCCGCGCCCGGGCAGCCCACAGCGAGCCTGCCCGGCCTCCCTCCACGGCGCGCCCCGCCGCCTACTCGTAGCTGCGGTTGTCGCTGTTGTTGTAGCCCTCCGAGCTGCGGTTCTCCACGTTGAAGCGCCTCACGTTGATGCGGCGGCCGCCCAGGTCCGACTGGTTGAGCGTCTCTGCCGCGCGCTCCGCAGACTCGGCGTCGTCAAAGGCCACCACGGCAAAGCCGCGGGACCGGCCGTCGGGGCTCGTCTTGACGTCGGCAAACGCCACGGGGTGGCCCGCCTCGGCAAACGCGTCCTTCACCTCCTGGGGGTTGGTTGGAGGGGGGGAGAAGGGTAGGGGCGCATGATGGGCAGGGAGAACGCGTGGTTGGGAGGATCCTCGGCGCTCGGGGCTGCCTGCATTGCCAAACCTGAGGCTGGTCACCGCGGCCACCATCGCGCCCTGTCCTGCGGCCTCCGTGGTGGCCCCCGTGGCGTCATGCTGCGGCGCCGCGCCCCCTCCCAGCGCGCACTGCCGCCTTTGCCCTCGCCAGCCCCCACCTGCCACGTGGTGCTCCAGCTGAGGTTGCCCACGTACAGCTGGGCGTCGGGGTTGCGCTGGGGCCTGTCGCCGCGCGGCTCCCTGCGCTCGCGGCGCTCGTAGCCGCCCTCGCTGCCGTAGCGGTCGCCGCGCGGGGGGCGGTCCCCGTAGTCGCGCTGGGGGCGGTCGCCGTACTCGCGCGCCGGGCGGGGGGCGCGGGGCGTGGCGATGCGCACGTTGATGGTGCGGCCCTCCAGGTCGGTCTCGTGCAGCTTCTGTAGAGCGCAGGGGGGGGGAGGCGGCGGTGACGACTCCGTCAGAGGGTTAACATTGAGGGGGGCCGCGAGCGTCGGAGGGCGCACGGAGGGCAGTGGGAACAAACCTGACAACCCGCCATGGCAGGAAACGAACCCGCAACCATACCCGCCCAAGGACCCAGTCACAGACCAAGCGAGCGCGGCGTGCGCAGGCAGCAGCAGCACCAGCAGCGCGCGCGTCGGGGCGGCCGCACCGCACCTGCACGGCGCTCTGCGCAAGCTCGGGGCGCTCGAAGTCAGCGATGGCCATGCCGCGGGAGCGGCCGTCGCGCATCATCACGCTGACGCGCGTCACGCCGCCGATCTCGTCGCTCAGGAACGAGCCGAGGACGTCGTTGTCGACGGCCCAAGGCAGGTTGGAGATGAAGATGGAGGAAGAGTCTGGGGGCACGGTGGCGGCGGGAAGGGTGCGGGGGGAACGTCAAGGGAACGGTCGCAGGGTGAGGCAGAGCCGGCACGGCAAGAGGGTATCAGGTGCGGGAGGGACCGGGGCGGCGTGACAGCGGGAGACCAGGGGCCTGGGCACGGGTGCAGCGCTCGGGCCGCACAGCCAGAGGCGCAAGGCGCGGGCGATCTGAGCTGAGCAGATCATGCAGCTCGGCGGCGGCTTAGTGGCCCCACTCACTGGCCAGGTCCTCCTCAGTGGCCTCATCCACAGCGGCGGCCATGCACACATACCGAGGCACCGCTGCGAGGGCAGGGGAAGACGAGGGAAGGGGTTGGCTACAAACGCGGCTGGCGCCACACCAGCACGAGTGTGGTAAGCCGCCGCACCCGACGGCACTGCAGCGGCCAGCAGGTGCTGGCCCCCAGGCTCACCAGGAGCGAAGCAGGGAGCCGCGAAAGTAGTCATAGGGGACACACGGAAAGCGGCCGTCGCCACAGTGAGCGAGGGCAGCCTCGCGAGGGCGGGCACCATCTTGTGCACGCTGGCGGCGGCACGCATGGCTGTCGAGGCTTTCAGCATAGTGCCTGATATGTGCAGCCCCGCGGCACAGAACGCACGCACGGCCAGCTTGGCTGACAGGATGTGGCACAGAGTGCACGGCAGCGACAACTCGCGTTTCGCGTGGGTAAGTGGAGCTTGATGCGCACAAAGTGTACGAATGTTCGCACGGCGAAGCAGATATGGCACTGCCACCCGAGTGCGGGATGTCAAGCGTCCAAACACGCGCCAAAGGACTGCAAGCTCCGCCAGAAAGTGTTCTAAACTTGAAAGGACACTATATACAGCATGAATGGGGCAGCCGCAGAGCCTGGCGTTCATAAAGGCGCGGGGGAGAGCCACAGGTCGGCGGCTGGTGCAGTTGGCTATGATATTGCCAGGCGACACGCCTGGAACAGGCGTGTAGCGGCATCATGCTGCACCTTATAGCTTGGATTGCGCTGTTTGTTGCAGTGAGCTGCAAATCTGCCTCTGTATCAGGTTACTCTCACTGTTGGTGCGCGTTGTCGAGGCACGGCACGCTCGCATGCAGCAATCAAAAGCAAAGACACGCATGCGGCTGGCCGCTGCTTGCGGGCGGCTGGTGCCAAAGGGGTGGCTGCAAGCAAATCTGGGCAACTGGATGGAGATGGGAGGAGGGGAAATGGGGCGTGGCGCGGCGCCATGCGAAAGACCACAGCGGCACAACGCAGCCAGCATCAGGACGCCCACGGCAAGGGCTGCCGCGCCAAATTCAGGCCTACCAGGGTCAACCCATCCTGCCAAGCACACAAAAGCGACGCTGCCTAGCAAAACAAATAACTGCCGCGCAGAGACTGCAGGTGCTCCAGGTTGGGGGGTTTCAGCTGGGCTACAAGCAAAAAAGGGGCCCTAGTGTACAGCAAAACTGCAGGGTGCAAGCAATGGGGCAGCCCGAAGATCAGGGGGTGAGGTTTGTGCGTGAGGGCATGAGTGAACAGGGTGTGGCGCGCGGCAAACGGTAGAGCGGCGGCGCCGCAGGTCTGGCGCAGACGGCGGCGGGACGCAGACAGCGGCGGGCAAGAAAGAACACCCCAACCCGCTCAAGCCCGTGCGCCTGCCATGGCCGCCCTGGCGGCCCCCGCGACCGCGGCGGCGGCGGCGCCGCCAAGCGCGGCCCCCGGGGCCCCCGCGGCCCCCGCGGCGGGGTCCCGCTGCTGGTAGAACAGCATGTAGGGCTGGCAGCGCCCGACCTCGGCCTCGCCGTCCGCCAGCAGCACCCATGCGTCGTCGCACTTGAACCATGCGCCGCCCGCCCTGACGTACGCCATGTAGTGCCCCGCAGACATGTCCCCGCGGTGGCTCACGACGCCAAACAGGTCGTAACAGCAGCGCCCCAAAAACGCGTCCCCACCGGGGGACTCCGCGGCGGCGGCGGCGGCGGCGCGCTGCTGCTCGTCGCCGCGTGCGCCGCCTTCGGCGCCGGCCGCGCAGTGCGCCAACAGCCGCTTGGCGCCGGCGGCGCGCGGGAGGGCCGCGGCGCGCAGCACCGAGGAGGACAGGAAGGGGCTCATGTCCAGGGACCCGAGGGGGAAGCTGAGCGGCACCTGCAGCTTGTACAGCCTGCAGCGAGCATGGGATGCACGGGGAGGGGGTGTGATCCGCGGATGCATGAGGGTGGAGGCGCGTGCGTCGAGTGGGGCAGCTGTGGGTGGGGGCAGGCAGAAAGGAACCCCATCGTCCACAACAGCAGCCAGGTCGAGCTGCTCCCACATGATCTCTAGGCTGAGAGAGCAAGCAGTCGATGAAAACAGCCAGAACCAGCAGGCGAAAGGCTTCACCCCCCCCCCTCCGACTCCTTCCCCTCGTCCTGCCCCCTCCTGTTGTGACGCCCATGCCTCCCACCTGTTGTGGCGCTCGTCCAACTTGAAGCGCTTCATGTGCAGGCACAGCACGGGGGGCAGCCGCCGCAGCGACACCTGCTTGGTGGCGTCGCCGGTCGCGCCGCAGCCGCTGCAGGTGTGGCCCGAGACGCGGTCCGGGCGGATGAAGCGCCGCAGGCAGCCCAGCAGGCTGACCTCCTCCACCACCTGCACGTGGAGGTGCGTTCGTGTGCGCGCATGTGTGTGTGTATGTGTGTGTATGTGTGAGCGTGCGTATGTGGGGGGTGTGTGACGAATTTTGTACGTGAGGGGGTCATGCGCAGAGCAGAGCAGAGCACTGCACGAGCTCGATGCTACTCGAGGGGCCAAAGCGCAGCCGGCGCCGCGGCGGCGCCATGCATGGAAGCAGAGGGCGGGCAAAAGCGTGTAGGCCTTTGTGTGCACGCGTGGTGCCCGTGACTGGCTCTCGGGCGATAGCAGCGGCCCTGCCGCGCAGGGCAAACTCCCGGCTCATTGGCCGCGGCCTCGGCCGCACCTGCACAGCCGGCAGCACCTTCTTGGCGGCCTGCTGAGGCGCCGCCGCCAGCGCCCCTTGCTGCCCCGCGCCCACCCCGTTTGCGGGCCGCGCCACAGCCGCCGCCACGGGCGCCGCCGCCGCCGTCGCGGGGGCCGGAGCCACCATGGCTGGCGCCGCAGGCACCGGCGCTGCGGGTCCCGCAGGTCCCGCGGCCGGCGCCAGCGGGCTCGCGCCAACGGGCGCCCCCGCCCACGCGAGCTCAGCGTCGTCCACGGCCGGCCCCCCGCCTTCCGCCGCCGCCGGCACATCTGCGCCTGGCGGCGCCGCCATGATTCCGCGCCGCACGAGCTCAGCGGCGTAGCGCGCCAGCTGCTGCTTCGGTATGAAGCGCCCCTTGGGGTCGCGCTGGCGCAGCAGCCCCTGGCGCAGCGCGGCGGCCGCCAGCGCGTCGTATGACGAGAACGCCCCACCCTGCCCGTGGCGCGAGGCGCCGGCGACGCCAGTGTCGTCGCCGGCCGGGCCAATCGGCGGGACGGCGCCGGGCGGTGGG